AACAACAAAGTTGCCAACTTAATATCTCCTTGTTCTGTTCGAATGACTGCCTCTTGATCTATCTACGGGTTCCTCATGAACACAATTAAGTGTTCTGGAATTCTCATTCTTCACAATGTTATCCATGATTTGTTATGATCCACATAGTCAAATGCCTTTGCATAGTCAATAAAACACAAGTAATATCATTAATATTGCATGCAAGTAAAATCTTGCTGAAGATAATTCAAAAACAGTTGCAGCAGTATATTGACAGAACTTCCAGAAATGCAAGCTGGTTTCAGGGGAGGACATGGAATGAGGGATATCATTGCTGATGTTAGACGGATCTTGGCTCAAAGCAAAGAATACCAGAAAGATGTTTACTAGTGTTTTATTGACTATGCAAAAGCATTTAATTGTGTGAATCATAACAAATTATGGGTAACACTGAGAAGAGTCGGAATTCTAGAACACTTGATTGTACTCATGACCAGGAAGCTGTCATTCAAACAGAACAAGGGGACACTGCACGTTTAAAATCAAGAAGGGAGTACGTCAGGGTTGTATCCTTTCACCATACGTATGCTGAGCAGATAATCTGAGAAGCTGGACTATATGAACAAGAACGTGGCATCAGGATCAGAAAAAGAATCATTAAAACCTGCAATACACTGACGACAAAACTTTGTTTGCTGAAAGCAAGGATAACTTGAGGCACTTACTAATGAAGATTGAAGAATGCAGTCTGCAGTATGTATTACATCTCAATATAAAGAAAACAAAAATCCTCACAACTGGACCAATAAACAGCATCATGATAAATAGATAAAAGATTAAAGTTGTCAGAGACTTCACATTGCTTGGTTCTACAATCGACGCCAATGGAAGCAGCAGTCAGGACATCAGACAACATATAGCACTGGGCAGATCGTCTACAAAGGATCTCTTTCAAGTGCTAAGGAGCAAAGATCTCTTTGAGGACTAAGGTGTGCCTGACCCAAGCCATGATATTTTCAATTACCTCATATGCATGTGAGAACTGGACAATAAATAAGGAAGACCAAAGAAGAACTGATGCTTTCGAGTTGTGGTGCTGGCGAAGAATGCAGAAAGTACCATGGACCGTTAAAAGAACTAACAAATCTGTCCTGGAGGAAGTGCAGCTGAAATGCTCCTTGGAAGTGAGAATGGCCAGACTTCATCTCACCTTCTTTGGTCATGTTATCAGAAGGGACCATTCCCTGGAGAAGGATGTCATGCTTGGTAAGGTGGAGGGTTGATGAAAAGGGGAAGGCCCTCAATGAGATGGATTGACACAGTGGCTCAGGTGACAGGCTCAAATATAGCAAGGATCATGGAGCTTGCATGGGGCTGGGCAGTGTTTCGTTCTGCTGTTCATGGGGTCACCATGAGTCAGAGACAACTTGGCAGCACCTAACAACAACAACAAAGTTGGCCAACAGAAGTAAGGATAACTTCCAAGATCTGGGGACTGATGTATAATCTTCCAGTTGAGTAGTATTAGAGAATGGTCATTTGATCCAACATTTTCTCCCACATTCTACAAAGACAGTGTATAAGTCTGAGGGACCACACTTCATTAAATAGCATCTAGCTACCTGTCCAAATCCTATTGAACCTCTTAGGAACAGCCAGCCAAAATCGCATCTCAAATACTCAATTAAATAATCAGTCAGTCATAGTGCGTAAGGCACTTGACTGCTAACCAGAAGGCTGGCGGTTCAAACCCACCAGCCACTCCTCAGAAGGAAGGTTGGGCAATCTACTTCTGTAGTAATACTGCCTTGGAAACCCAAGGAGGGGTTGCTATGAGTTGGGTCTGCCTTGACAGCACATAACAACAACAAACCAGAAAGTATCTATTGAATACCAAATACATGCCCATCATTCTTCTGTTGTTGTTAGGTGCCATCCAGTCAGTTTCTACTCACAATGACCCAACATACAACAACAAAACACTGCCTGGTCCTGCACCATCTTCACAATTATTGCTATGCTTAAGCCCACTGTTGCAACCGTTGTGACAAACCAACTTGTTGAGGGTCTGCCCTTTTCTCTGTGACCCTCTACTTTATCAAGCATGATATCCTTCTCCAGGGACTGTTGTTGTTGTTATGTGTTGTAAAGTTGCAGGGACTAGTCCCTAGTAATAACATGACCAAAGTAAGGGAGACAAAGTTCGGCCACTGTCACTTCTAAAGGGCATTCCAGCTGTACTTCTTCCAATATATATTTGTTCATTTTTCTGCCAGTCCATAGTATATTCAATGTTCTTTGCCAACACCACAATTCAAACGTATCAATTCTTCTGTAGTCTTCTTTATTCATTGCCCAGCTCTCACATGCATATGAGGCTATTGAAAAAACAATGACTTTGGGTCAGGCCACTTTATTCTTTAAAGTGATATCTTTGCTCTTTAACACTTTAAAGAGGTCTTTTGCAGCAGATTTGCCCAATGCAATATATCATTTGATTTCTTGACTGGTCCATGGGCATTGATTGTGGATGCAAGTAAAATGACATCCTTGGCAACTTCAACATTTTCTCGATTTATCATGATATTGCTTATTGGTCAACTTGTGGAGATTTTTTGTTTTCTTTACGTTGAGGTATAATCCATACTGAACACTGTAGTCTTTCATCTTCATTGGTGAGTGCTTCAAGTCATCTTCATTTTCAGCAAGCAAGATTGTGTCATCTGCATATCTCAGATTATTAACGACTCTTCCTCCAATCCTGATGCCACATTCTTCTTCATATAATCCAGCTTCTCAGATTATTTCCTGATCATACAGATTGAATAAGTATGGTAAAAGAACAGCCCTGACTCACATTTTTCCTGATTTTAAACCATTCAATATCCCCTCATTCTGTTCAGATGACTGCCTCTTGGTCTATGTACAGGTAGGTTCCTCATGAGTACAATTTAAGTGTTCTGGAATTCTCATTCTTCACAATGTTATCCATAATCTGTTATGATCCACATAGTCGAATGCCTTTGCATAGTCAATAAAACACAAGTTAACATCCTTCTTCTATTCTTTGCTTTCAGCTTTCAGGCAAGAATGATCTGACATCAGCAATTAAATCCCTCATTCTACATCCTCTTTTGAATGCAGCTTGTATTTCTAACAGTTCCCTGTCTGTATACTACTGCAACCAGTTTTGAATTGTCTTCAGCAAAATTTTCTTGCATATGATATTAAAGATATAGTTTGATAATTTTTGAATTCTGTCAGACCACCTTTCTTTGGAATGGACACAAATATGCATCTCTTCCAGTTAGTTGGCCAGGAAGCTGTCTTGGCATCAAAGGGTAAGCACTTTCAGCATTTCATTTGTTTGTTGAAACATCTCAGTTGGTATTCTGTCAATTCCTGGAGCCTTGTTCTGGGCCAGTTCCTTCAATGCAGGTGGGACCTCTTCCTTCAGGACCATCAGTTCTTGGTCATATGCTACCTCCTGAAATGGCTGAATATTGACCAATTCTTTTTAGTACAGTGACTCTGTGTATTTCTTCCATCCCCTTTTGATGCTTCCTACACCGTTCAATATTTTGCCCATAGAATCCTTCAATATTGCAACTCAAAGCTTGAATTTTTTCTTCAGTTATTTTAGCTTGAAAAATGCTGAGCATGTTCTTCTTTCTTAACTTTCTAACTCCAACTTTGCACATTTCATTATAATACTTTACTTTATCTTCTCAACTTGCCCTTTGAAATCTCCTGTTCAGCTCTTTGACTTCATCATTTCTTTAATTCATGTTAGCTACTCTCCATTCAAGAGCAAGTTTCAGAATCTCTTCTGACATCCATTTTGGTCTTTTCTTCCTTTCTTGTCTTTTTAATGATCTTTTGCTTTCTTCATTTATGATATCCTTGACGTCATCCCACAACACATTTGGTCTTCCTTGCATCAAATCTACTCTTGAAATAGTCTATAAGTAAAGGTAGGATATACTCAAGGTTGTTCTTTGGCTCTCATG